ATTTCCTTGGACTGCCAAGGCAGAACTATCACCTGTGGGGGATATATCCTTAAATGACTCACGTGAAACCCTTAAGACCCGAGAAAAGGTCTCCGTTAGTGAATGCACAGTATTTCCTCCAAGAATTTGTGAACGAACTGCATCGAACTCTAGTCCAAGTGCTCCCAAAAATCCCATAACAGCCAATTGTTCTCGTTGCTCCTGCATCGTCTTAACATCAGAGGTAATTGGCAAAAGATGATTAAACTCCTCATACATTTGTTTAAAATCAGCAAAAAATTGAGTAAGAGACCAATTCTTTCTGTCAGCTCTAAAGAAATCTTGGGAGACTTCATAGATCCTTGAGAGATTATTTTCCCCAGAATAAAGGACATTCAAGTAATCCCACAAATCCTTAACAGTAGTGGCATGTGTAACTAAGGCAGCCACATGAGATTCCATAGAATTCCACATTTGTCCAAGAATTTCGGCATCCATGGTATCCCATTTAGTATCGCGGCAGTTCGTGCACCTGTCAAATGGTGATTTTGCTCTCTTCCGGTCAATACTATCACCACAATTCTCTTCCAATGCTGAAAGTTGGTGACCCCAGCTAATTTTTCCTCAGTCAAACAATTAGAAGATGTAGATACGACTTTAGTCAATACTCCTTTGTTCTTATCTGCCATAATCAAACACTCACACTAAACCAGGAACAAAGCTCCACAACCTATCACACCACTGATCACCAACCAAATTAAAAAAACGTTCAACCTCACGTAAATCAGAAAACCAACACCAGTCGAATCAAACCATACACTTCAAAATGATCTACCAAATCCGAACCAATCAACACATCAGTTCGGCACATCAGTAGTTATATGCAACAGTACTTAGCCCCCCCTCTCTCAATCTACATGTATAGCACCACACGTAATCAGCCAATTAGCCAAACCAACATCACATCCAATCATCCAAACCAACATACACAGCAATAATCTCCCTTCCCTCAAGCATATCAGCAACCAAGTAAAATTTTTTTTTTTTCGAGATTCCACTTCAATCAGGAGCCATCAGAAGGGGGCCGCTCCTCATCTAGTGACGTCAGAAGACGTCGAAGTGGGTCGCCTGGCCTGGAAACCTTCGATCGACGCCTGGAGGACTTAAATCGGCGCCGGAAATGGGGTCGCCGGGCTCGGACAACCTCAGATCTGGCTCGTCGGAGCGTCGGCGGCCCTGGACGACCTCAGATCTGGCTCGTCGGAGCTCTGGCGGGACGCCGGGATGAGGTCACCGGCCTTGTATGAGGTCGCCGGTCTTGGGTTCTACGGTGGATGAGGTCGCCGGCCTTGGGTTCTACGGTGGTTGGTGGTGGACGACGGTAATTTTAGGGTTTAGGCTCTGATACCATGTTAGCAGAATAATTAATCTCTTTTATTGATCAGAAAGTACGGTATATATACACATCAAAATCCCAAAGACCATTATACCCTTTAACAGTTATGATGGAAAGGAGTCTAACCTATATTCTTAGAAATTCCCAAGAATTGCATCCATCGCTATCGTTTTCCAAATTGGGAGTACACAAATTTTTACTATATAATCTGCCAGACCATCTAGCATGCTAGGTGATGTACCTGATTTGATGCTCTGACCTCGATGTTATTTGTACTTCCAGACATTCATCAAGAAAAAATTGTGGAAGAAGGAGGCTTGGATGCACTGCTTGTGTTGTTGCAGTCATCACGAAATGCAACTGTGCTTAGAGTGGCCTCTGGTGCCATTGCCAATTTGGCAATGAACGGTATTTTAAGTTCTTCACATATTTTTATTTTAACATTGTGGCTTCTACTTAACATGTTGCTAATTGAGTTTTTTTTTTTAACAAGTATCAAGTCTTATGCAGTTTCTTTGATTGAAATGGTGCTTTATCATTTTCCTGCACTTGCTAGTGATTTTCTGTGAGATAACTAGTTAAAAAAATTCAGAACACCTTACTCAGTGAAGTAGAACTAGCTTATACACGATGAAGATTTTAAGAGCAAAGAACTAAGCATAGCTGATATTAACATTCACTTTGAATTTCGGTAGAGCTAAAAGTTTGTACTTTGCTTCCCGAAGCAGTATTCAAAGGGTAACAGTCAGAAATGTCTTTGACTTATGACATCGAAGTCCCATGTACATTCCATTCTATGCTGTATCGGGGTTCTCACTTCTCACGTTCTCACTGGGTATAGCCACTTACTAGTCAAAAATAGGAAAATACCTTTTAGAAGCTTGAAAGCCATCGTGTAGACTTTCTGGCACATCATGCTTTGACCTGTGTATTTTGCATTTTGAGAGTAACAATGATAATCATGACCATCTTAGTCGAGAAAATTGGGGAATAATCTTTACATTGTACTATGTATTTTTTCTAATTTCTTTCTGATTTTTTTTGAATTTTTTTTATCACTTCTGAGATAAAGTTGAATTTGGAATCAGATAGTGTTAGTAGTTTTAACTGAAGCCATCGAACCGGTTTGTTCAACCTTTCCAGATTTGAAAGCTTTGGTGCAAACTGTTCATCCCACTGGAGTAGTGTTCCAATGGCATTTCATTATTCAACTCATTATCTCACTAACTCCAACTAATGTGCTTGTCCATGTTAGAGTTGAACCAAGGCTTGATAATGAGCAAAGGAGGTACTCGGTTACTTGCAAATGTAGCATCTACAACAGATGATCCGCAGACGCAAAGAATGGTGGCTGGTGCAATTGCTAACTTATGTGGAAATGGTGAGCTGAAGTTATCTTTGACACAAGTCCAATGCTTTAGTCTATCATGTGCTCTCCACTACACCACATCGATAGAGAGTGTCGTGCCAAAACATATTTCTTTTTTCGTAGTCGCTCTCTGGTGCTATTTCTTGCCCCTTTCTTTCAAATAAAACAATAAACTTTTTGGATCAAGTAATTTTTAACATATATGCCAGAAACTAGACAAGAGTTTTCAATTTGGTTTTCTGAAAGCTCCAACATAGTCTTTGTAATTCAATTATGTTGCCTTCTTCATCCTCTCTAGTTTGTCTTCCTGTGGTGAGAAATTCAGTTATTTGGTCTAATTTGTACAACCTCGTTTGAGGGACATGAATTGAGGAGAACCAGGTTTTTAATCACACGTATATATGATTTTTATATATGATATAGGAACTACATGTTGCTTCTGCCTTCTCTGTGATGATGTTTATTTAATGGACTGATGCCCTGAAGTTTGCATGTGACACAAAAATTGCATGTGATGTTGAAGGAAGATGGAGGCCTGGAAGCACTTCTGCGAATGGTTAGATCAGGGACTAATGATGTCACAGCACAGATTGCTAGAGGAATCGCTAATTTTTGCCAAATGTGAATCCCGAGCAGTTATTCAAGGTTAGTCATTTCTTCTCTTCACGATGTTTTTTTTTGGTCAGTCTTCTCTTCAGGATGTCACTTGATAACACTTAGTAAACCAATGGCCTTTTATTCTTTCAAAATCTGAGTTGACTTCCTGTAGGACATCGGAAAGGCCGTTCACTTCTCATGGAAGATGGTGCCCTTGAGTGGTTTCTTGCAAACTTCGACTGCGCTTCTACTTCAATCAAGCGCCATATCGAGCTCGCTCTGTGCCACTTGGCGCAAAACAGTAATCTACTCATCTATCACGTGGACATTCAATTTCGGTTGAATAAATGATATGACAGACATTACTTTACTAGCATGAGTGTTTGGCAGGCATCATACTATTCTTGCTTTTTATACGTTTTTAATGGAGTCACGTTGCTTTTTTCAGAGGATAATTGGAGGGATTTCATGTCCAGTGGGGCGGTGAAACGAATACAAAGAATTTCAATTGAATCCAGTAGAGAAGACATCCGGAACCTAGCGAAGAAAACTTTGAAGCTCTTCCCTACGCATCAAACCGACCTGTACCCTACCCATCAAACTGACTTGTACAGAGAGTAGCCACTTCCCGAATATATTACAGTGCGTATACTGTATATTGAGATGTACCTCCTGTTTATGTTCTTAGTAGAATTGTATTAAACTAGAAACCTCTTTCTCATTATATTGACAATGCATTTTCATAAGCTAAGATTACACGAGCCATGTTGTAGACTTCCAGTGGGTTTTCCTTACATGCTCGCGCTGTAAAGGACTTCAGATTTGAGAGGAAAGATCAAATTAGCGATTGTCGTCACACTAGGTACGTACACATTTTTTATAAACGCATCTACTAAGAATAATCCTCTCAGGCTGCCAATTGTACTTTATTTGAGTAAAAATAGTTATTTGTCTCCTGGAGAAAAATCAATTCGTCTGAAGTTTCTTGTCTTCCTTTTGAATTTAGACCATTTAGCCTAGATATCTGATTTTGCAAAACAGCCTGCATATGACGAACTCGGTTCACTGATTGATGCTTTTTACTTAATGGGATCTGATCCTGTAGAAATTGCAGAAACTTCTTTGCACAGATCTTTAATGCCGAAGAAATCTCCCAATTTTCATTGGTCATAAGTTTCAGAGTGTTATTTCAAGCATATGTGGACTCGTGCGTAGCATGAGTGAGCTGCTAGTACTCACAATTATGCTTTGTAGGAAGTGTATGGTTACGGTGCTTGCAGCCAACCACCTGCTAGAGTGGTCACCCGCCTCATTAGAGCCGGTGTCCAACTGTAGCCACCACCGCGCCAGCCTCGGCTCCTTGTCTCTGGCCGACACCACAAGCTGCATAGATGCTCTCTACCCCTAGTGATCTCTCTCTCTCTCTCTCTCTCTCTCTCTCTCTCTCTCTCTCTCTCTCTCTCTCTCTCTCTCTCTTAATACTTCTTCTATTTGGTGATATTGGAGGTCCATGACTTCATAACCGAGGTTGGTGATGGTGATCCAAATAGCGACTCCCATGATTCTTGTGAAGAGGGTGGTAGGTGATGGCAGTGGTGGATGTGGCCGGGGTCGGCAACGGTGACAACGACGGTATAGTAAAAGACGGGGGCAAGTACATTTCAGGACAATGAATTTGAGATGCCTACTATCATCTTCTTCGCAAGATGAATTAAGAATGACCACTTTGCGCAGCAATAGGATTACATCTTCCACGACAACACTTCATCACGATATATAAGTCTGACAAAGCTTATAAAGTGTTCAAACATGGTTTTAAGCATCTCTAGGAGGACTAGCTTTGCATATCGGTCTCTCTGTGAACAGCATACCATATGACACCGTGAAGAAATATATCATCAGAGCCACTCCGACTGCTCCCACCAGCACGGTCACCGTGCGGACCGCGTAATCGCTCCCGCAGGAGAGCTTCCCGAGCTTGATCTGAGCGACATTGACCATCGCCAGGAGCAAGAACAGGCACCCAATCATCGTCCCGTAGATCGCCAGATAGAACGCCACAAGGCTGGGCACCTTCCTGTGAGGGTCGGTGCACTTCTTCCTCTCGTAGATGTAGAGGACAATCTTCCCGGTCTTCCCGAGGAAGCCCGAGAAGATGAAGAAGCTGAAGGACGCAATCTCGTAGAAGATGAGCTGCTTGCGGAGCTTCGTGTCAGGGTCGCACTTGGGGCGGTCCTCCTCGAGGCTGTGGACCTGGCCAGGGTTCGCCAGCGAGAGGCCCACGAACATGGCCACCGTGAACCACGAGTTGAGCCCCACGATGCCGTCCAGCACTTTCTGGAAGTACTTCCTCTCGTCCACCGTGTCCCCTTCCACTTTCACGCCATTCCTAGAGAATGAAGAGGAGAAGGTCAGAAACAAAAGAATAACGATTCACGTATGCAGCGAAAAAACAAGAGATGCATCGAAAAATCATAGTAAAAGTTCGAGATAGAAAGAGAGATGCCCGTTTCTGGGAGTCGCCATGGGAGAGATATCCTTTCTTTTTGCTCTTCTGTATCTTGTTTTGTTAAGCCTGTTAGACTTGAGGATGCAACCATGCGCCGAGGCTTAGTATGGGAGAGAATTCCTCGTTTTTCTTCCTTTAAATTGAACCTCAGCGCAATTCTGACCGCACACGAATAATGTAAACGTGCCGCACAACCATTTGGTTGTACGAACCGATTCGTGTGTGCTCGAACTCGTTCTATTACACCAAGCCGATCGAATCATGAGAATCTGTCGGACTCAAAGATTTATTATATCGACGTGATTTGAGTGTCTATCCATCACATCTTTACAAAACGGGTCTGCCTAATGAATGCTCGTGGACTCTGCTAGACGTTAGATGGAGTCCATAATGAGCTAGAATTACCAAATATTAACCTCGGTCCATGATTGCAGAATCTCATGAAGATAGAGATAGCGAGCCGCAGATGCACCGAAGCCACCATTTTTTACACAGTAAGCTTGGACAGCGAGTGAAGTTGATGTGCATCTTCCGTTCAATATCCTCGGACCTGAAGTTTGTTAGTTGTTGCTACCCTCATCTACATTGGCGGGTTACGTGTGGAGTGTGTACAAAATATCGCGCGGACCATAGGGATGACAATTTTATCCATCCAAGTGACTATAGCGCCGTCCCGCCGGGGCGAGGCTGGTCGGAAAAGGGGAAACTTTCATGCCCTGCCATGCCCCGCCCCGCAATCTTCACTTTATAAACTTTGTAGTCCTAATTTCTTCAGATGATTGGTATACATCTTGGATTTCTCTTATCATATGTCATGCATCCCGAGCTGGATTTCTTAGCGGTGAACATTTTCGCAATTGCATTTGTGTGATCTTTTAAAGACTCCGACCTCTCCGATGTGAAATCAATAAATTAATTGATGTGACATATTGCTAGTGGACATTTGTATAAGTAAAGAATTTTTCAAATGTCAAGAAGGGTGGGCCACATTATTTACTTTACCTCTTTCAATCATAAGAAAACATCTTGGTCATTTTGCTTCTCTTTGGAATGAGGTTGCGGGGAGAGAGGAGGGGGTCGTACTATTTGTTAGATGCTAAAGAACTACACTATAAATAGTGTTGAAAGTGTTAAGATCAGTTCATAAATGCTGTTACATTTGAGATGCTTGAATATGAGATCCTAACAATATGTGCATTCTTAAAGTCGAAATATTTTGAAAAATCTGTTTAATATTTTTAACATTACTTCATAGCGTAAACCAGATATATCTTTTTTTTTTCCCAATGTCAGGGATGATCATAGAGAAGGCGTTTTACATGACGAAAACATCACGTGGCAATGAAATGAGGCGTAACCAATCAATCAATAGCGAGATACATAAACACATGGTGCCAAGTAGAACGAGATTCATAGTAAGTGGGCAATCGTGATTTATCAATCACACCATGTTTCACTGCCACGGAGTTTAAAATACATTTTCACTGTCATGACACGTATATATTTTCACAATAAGTAACGACTCAAATGACCGTCACATGCCAACATTCGAAATCCATTTGTTGAAGGTTTTTACTTTTTTGTGTTGGCAGTGTTTCTTTTGAAAACTCAACATTGAAAAAAAGCCAATCACTTTCGTACGGTTCTTGCTTGTTTGATAACACATTTAGATCTTTCTTATTAAGAAGTCAAATATGATAATCTACTCGTGTAATTAATTTTGCTCTTGTTAATCTAGCTACTAATAACTAGTCAGACACTTAAATTTATTTTGGGAAAATGACACAAATGGTTCCTGAACTTTGGCCCAATGTGTAATGTGATCCTTGAATTTTTAATTTGTTCAATGGGGTGCCTAAACTTTTAGCCCGATATTCAATATGGTCCTTGAACTTTTAATTTGTTCAATGTGGTACATAAACTTTTAGCCCAATGTGTAACGTGGTCCTTGAAATGAAAATGTTCAATATTGTCTTTTTATTGCATGTTGGGCAAAAAATTTATGAACTATATTGTACATTAAGCAGAAATTTAAGGATTATTTTGTGTCAGTATCTCATTTATTTTTTATTGATTGCTAAAGTATTACCGATCCGTAAAAGAATGAAAGAGACGTAAGTGGCCAGCTCACGGAGAAAAAGCAGTGGCTGCAAAGCATTGGGCCCGCAACATATGTGTTTTCTTTCTTTTTTCTGTTTTTGGCGAGCTCCTCTTACATGATCAGAAGCAAGAAAGACGGAGTTTTAAGCAATTTTGTGCCTTTTAAAATGGATTTTAACAGTACCAGTAACTAGTGAAAACTCTGCTAGTAGAGAAAAACTTACACAAACGATCTCATATATCATTGATTTGATAAAACCAAGAGTCATAATCATCGAATCAAGAATGGTTTCGAACTTTATATTTTTTAGAATGAATATTTAGGGAATCCCCTTGTATACAATCAAATCTTATTTCACAGTACTTACATAAGATTCATCTTTCTTATTATTAAGCAAACCTCTTAGAGGTCCTAGTTGATCCATGGTTTATGCTTTGTCTTTCGTTTCTTTCCTGTTTGTTTGGAGGAATATATCGATCAATTCCGGTTGTATATAATTTTCGTCGCAATGCTCAAATCAAAGTGAATCAGGCTGTTTGCATAAAATTTTTGCCAATGTGTGTACTCCATTTTTTTAATGAACATTTCAAGAAGTAATCAATTTAGCACTCTGAGAGTTGTTACATTCAGTTAATATATGATCTCTGTAAATCAATGTCGACTATTAGATGGAAACTCATTCGAGGGACGCGCAATAATCATGGAATGCACGAGAAGATAGCACCTGCACTTAAGACATACCATACATGGACCTACGATATATCGTCTTACTGGATATATGTTATATGATAAGTCCATCATATTTTAGATTGCCCTACTAATGAACTTCTCGCCTCTCATCGTCACACCTTCCCAACCGCGGCAGGAACGCCCTTGCCGGTCTCCGCTGCCTTGCCTTGGGGCGGCGCGTTCTTGGCAGTGAACACCAGGCCGTAGGTCACTGTAGTGAAGTAGATCAGCAGGCTGAGGCCGATGGTGCCGACCATGACGGAGACAGTGCTGACAGCGAACTCGCTCTCGCACGAGAGCCGGCCGAGCTTGATCTGGATGACGTCGACCATGGCCAGGAGCAGCAGCAGGCACCCGACCATGGTCCCGTAAATTGACAAATAGAACCCGACAAGGCTCTTCCATTGGCGGTGCGGGTTCTTCACGACGCTGCCGGGCAAGCCATCCCGATTCTTGTAGATGTAGAGGAAGATCTTGACGGTCTTGGCAAGGAAGCCGGAGAAGACAAAGCAGCTGAAGGAGGCAATCTCAAAGGCTACAAGCCGCTTGCGTATCTTGGTGTCCGGGTGGCAAGTGTCGTCGTCCTCGAGGCTATGAACTTGGCCCGGCTGGGCAAGGGAGAGGCCGACGAAGACGGCAACGGTGAAGAGGGAGTTGAGGCTCACGACGTCGTCAAGCACCTTCTGGAAGTACTTCCTCTCGTCCACTCGCTCCTCTTCATTTTCTTCTGCGGTGGGTATGCCGTTCTTGCTGTAGACGAGCAATAGAAGAAAGAATGAGTGGAGAGAACGAGCTCCCAAAGAGAGAGAGAGAGAGGTAGGTTTTTACCTGTCAGCCATAAATGAGAGCTAGCTTGAGGTTGGAGAGGAATTTCTCGTTGCTTTGTGATCTTACCGGAGGATCCCATGACATTGTTGGTTGCTTTTAAGGGAAAGTGATGATAATAGGGAAATGTTGACTAACATGTTGACCATTTAAATTCATCACTAAAATCAACTGTGCAAATATGTTGATACGAGTATAGAAATTTGAGAATTGGAAGGTGAACTCAGCTAGTCCAATTCAGTCGTTCCAACGACCAACTCAGCCTTTCGGTGAAGCAATTTTTTGTTTTTGGCTATGATAAAAGAGTGCCCAAATCTGGCAAATTATAAATCACTCATAGGAGAAAGTTCAATTTAAAAACATTGAACATTTTTCATACAGTTCAAAAACTAAATTGAATGGGCACAAAAAGTTCAGGAATCACATTTAATAAATTTAAAGTTCATGGACTACATTGCACATTTGGCCAAAGTTCAAAGACCATTTGTGTCATTTACCCATAATCTTAATAGTTCTCCAACATTATCAATTTTTTTCTCCAATGGCAACAACTAATTGTATTTCTAGTGAGCAAATGTTTATCAACAATTGTAGTTCTCCAATAATTTCGACTGCAGCTCCAATTAGTACCTTCTTTTTTTGGGAAGAGTAATTTGGCCGGAAAGTTTGCAACTCGATGATTTAAGCACTCAATAATAATCCAATGGTATAGTAAAATTTTCTCAAGTTATTAGGGGTGGTAGAACCTAAACTTATTATCCAAAACAATGGCAATTTCCCTAAACGCCTCCCAATGTTAGCTAAACTGACACTTTGTAAACTTTCCTTTGAAGATAGTAAATGCCTATTTGTTTAGTAGAAAATCAACTGCCAGAAATCATTTTCTTGTTTTTTAATATTTGAATCATTTAGAAAAATGAGTCAGCAAAAACTTTATATTTAAATTCAAAAAAATAATTTCCTCTTTGATATATTAGAACACAACTTCGAAAAGAAAATTGACCCTCGGTGCTTGGAATCCAAGCTTCGGGGCTCCGGTGCTTGGGGCTGGTTCCCCCAAGGTCGAACCAAGGATCCTAACAGCCGTGTGTGAGTCCTCGCCACTTGTACCAAGGGCCTTGGTGGCTAGCTTGGGTGCCCCACGACCTGAGCCTAGGTTCCCCCGAGGCCAGGCCTTAGGCCCTAACAACTGGGCCTGGTCCCTTAAGGCCAGGCCTTGGACCCCCGTGTTGGGGCCACGGTACCTCGAGGTCGGACGCGAAATCCTTGAGGCGGGGCTTAGGTGCCTTGAGGCTGGGCCCAAGACCCCGGTGCTTGGCTCAGGACCTTAACGGCCGAGCCTAGGACATTGGCACCCGAGCCCAAGTCCCTTGAGGCCTATCTCGAGACTCCCGCGATTAGGCTCGGTTCCACCGAGGCTTAATATGGGTCCACATGCACGGTATATCCAAACTTTTCTAACTCGACACTGTGCATTTGTAAGGATCCACTCACAAAGCAACAGTTGTAGCCTTCGAAAGTATCTTGAGCAGAACATGTCGTGGTTTGATCACTAAATTTGCCCATGCAAACT